TTAATCTGTCCCAAATTGAAACATATCCTTCCCTAGATGTTTCTGCTACTCCAAGGACTAAAGTTGGATTACAAATTAGAGACTGACACGAAGTGCCAGTTTAGCAGTTCATGGCAGTTTGTTTATTGGTCGAACAGGTGTTTGGTACTTCTGAGCTTTGCCTTCTCTACAAGGCACCCACTCACTGCCTCACCTCCTCTGGGCACTGCCTCTGAGTGGGCGCCCACCAGAGGAGATAAGGCTGGGAAATGCCATACACCTATTTGGCTGAAAAATGAACAGGCATGAACCGCTGAACTGGCGGTTCGTGCCAAAGTCTTTTGCAAATATACTTGAACTGAATTCTGCCTCTAGAGATATTTTTACTGCTTTGGCCAAACCACAGTACCCCTCATCCCAACTCAGATCTTCGGAGGTAGGGCCTTGTACCCCCATCCTCAGATTTCCCACATGGAAAGATCCATAGCTCTATTCTCATAAACAAATGCATTAATTAATGGGATGCTGTAGCTTCCCTTTAGTGATTTACGTGAATGCACTGGCCCGCTGCCATGTCAGTGAGTTACATGCATGTGGGTAGATACGGACTCTGTCAAGGGATATGCTAAAATTTCATTTTACAACAGTTGCGATAGCTGCTGGAAGGAAACTGGCACACCGGCTTTTTGAAGGTAAAGCAGATTCTAAACTTGACTACACCAACATTCCTACAGTGGTCTTTAGTCATCCACCTATTGGAACAGTTGGACTAACAGAAGGTAAGTGCTCCGATCTCATCCGTTTACATTCAGATGGTTTAGTGTAACAGAAGATAAATGCTGAGGTAACAAAATCCATTGTGTTTATGACACAAACTATCCCTGAAAGGCTGGGAGATCTCTGGCCTTCTGGATGATTCTGATTTCCCAGTGTCCACTTGCCTCTGCCAGCCTAGTCAGCGGCTAGGAACATTATTTCAACATCATATGGAAGAGAATAGGTTCCATATTCCTGTTCTGGTAAAAAACATGTTCCAGAGTTGCATAGCAAGGATATAGTGCTGGTGAAATTTCATTTTAAGAAGAGAATGCACAGACATTAGCAGAGCCCATCAGGCATCTGCCAGACATGAGATACAGTAGTTGCATTAGGCACTGCAGATCTCGCATTGAGCAGGAGTTTAGATGAGATTATCTTTAAGATCTGTCTTAACTGATTCTGTAATACTTTCCAACCACCGTCCTTTCTAACTTCAGTATATTTATCTGTAAGATGCCCAGAATCTGTTTTAGTAAAAACAACAACCAAGAACAGTAATTAAATTATTGTAATAATGGTAGTTTAGGTCTGAATTTGTCTTCTTCCTCTCAATGGTTAAGTGCTCTCTGGAGTTCCTTGACCACAGATTAGGATGTTCCCAAATTTTGGTACAGAAAATATTTGACATTTGTCAAGTCATTAACTGCTTGAACATTAAAAAAAATTACTCCAGCAAATCAGTACGAATAGTGGGATAATGGTTAGCCACATATGGTTACAGGGTTTGGGCTACGAGTTGCAAACCAAACATGGTAATCAAGGCCCTCCAGGATGTACTTGCAGCAAATGCTTTTTGCTTAGCAGTTCTAACATACTCCAGGGTGTCTTCTATTATAGCAGGCATCCTTGGCAGGTGGGCCCTATATATTTGAATAACAACAGCCTCTATAAATTGTTTTCAGTTACTGTTTTTAAAAGAAGACAACTACTGCTATTTAAGCATATGTGATAGCATTAGAACTCAAAAGACCTGGATTTAAATCTCTACTTGGCCGTGGAAACTTACAGAGTGGCAATGGTAAATCATAGCCAACTTTTTAAACTCCAATAAGATTATGCTTCTAACATACTGAGAGAAGACAAGGAAACCCAACTTGCAGATCCTAATACCTAAATCACAATAGAGGGCACATACTATACTTCTTAGCTTGCTTTTTTTGCATTGTATAATGCCTTGAAAGCCAATGTAGTGTACTGTATTAGAGTATCAGATTAGGCCTCAGAAGAGCTGGGTTCAACTTCCTGCTCTGCCATTGAAACACACTGGGGGAATAGCAATGGTAAAGGTACTTCTTAAATATCTCACACATCTCCAGTTAGGGTTGCCATCAGTCAGAATTACCTTGATGGCATATAATATCAAATGATTAGTTGTTCTTCCTCTGACATATGCAAACACATATTTTCATGTCTTTCTTCCAGAGGAAGCCATAACTGTATATGGGAGAGAGAGTGTAAAAACCTATACAACGTCCTTTATTCCAATGTACTATGCTGTAACAAAAAGGAAAGCAAAGTGTGTGATGAAACTTGTTTGTGCCAATAAAGAAGAGAAGGTAAGCAAGGCAGAGTAACAATTCTATGAGGAATATTGACATATTAAATGTATTAACTGCTCCTCCACAAACTACCGTATTTTTCGCTCCATAAGACGCACGTTTCTATAAGACGCAGCAATTTTTTAGGAGAAGAAAACAGGAAAATATAATCTGTTTTCTTCGCTCCATAAGATGCACAGACTTTCCAACCCCCTGTTTTGTGGGGGGAAAGTGCGTCTTATGGTGCGAAAAATACGGTAATTTTATTTAAAATAAAGAAATGAGTTAAGGATACTTCTAGACAGTGAGGTCTCGACCTACAGAATTAATCCATATTTGAATGGGGTCCGTAGGCCGAAAATGCATTCCCCTTAGGAATTCATTGAAAACCATTTAATTCGTACCTGGCCCAAACCCACCCAAACAAAAAAATTAATAAAAATTAAGATAAAATTAATTTAAAACTTACCTTTCTGAAGCCTTCCAGAGGTCTCCCCTCGCCACCATCGCCGCTGCCCGAGGCCTCCAAGGGCTTCTCCGCCGCTGCCCGAGGCCTTTCGGAGGTCCCTTGCTGCCGCCATTGCCGCTGCTGGAGGCTTCTCGGAGGTTCACCACCACCACCACCAATGCAGGCTTTCACAGAGTAGACCGGGCCTACCGGGGGAAGCCTTCCCCCAGTAGGCCCGGTCTACTCCCTGGGAAAGCCTGTGTCAGCGGGGGGCACCTCCAGATGCCTTCCCCGCTGCCATGGGAGGCCTCTTGGAGCCCTGTCATGGCGGATAGTACTTTGGAGGCATTCGGAGGTCCCCCGCTGACGCAGACCCTGCTGGGAGCTGAGCCGCGCCTGGTGATCTTCCCCGCTACCATGGGAGGCATCTTGGAGATCCCCCGCCGCCACTGATAGTGGCACTATCGGCAGTGGGGGGATTTCTGAGATGCCTCCCATGGCAGCGGAGAAGCCCTGGAAGGCATCTGGAGGCATGACCTACGGCCTGGAAGGGGGAGGCAGGGAAAGCACAAAATTCGAATTTGGCGCTTTCCCTGCCTCCCACTTCCAGTCCGTAGGTTGATTCTCCGGGCGCACGTCGAAGTTAAACTTTGCGGCCGGAGAAGTCCATAGGTCAAAAAGTACATAAGTGGAGCCGACTAACTCGAGACTCCACTGTATACCTTTCCGGTCAGATTTTATGCAGAACTCACAAATATCGATAAAGAGTATAAAATGTGTAGAAAAACTAGCTATTTATAAAGCCTGTCTCTTCCTAAAGTTGAAAGCCAGGAGTTGCTGAGAGAAATGCTTTATGTTACTGGTGAGGGAAGTGGAAAGATGATGATGAATGAATCTGTTTCACATGGCTATGTTTTTTGTGTTTCAAGGTGGTAGGACTTCACATGCAAGGCCTGGGGTGTGATGAAATGCTCCAAGGATTTGCAGTGGCTGTGAAAATGGGAGCAACCAAAGCTGACTTTGACCGGACCGTGGCTATCCACCCAACATCTTCAGAAGAGCTGGTTACGCTACGCTAAAAAGCGAAACATGGCTGAAGCACGAAGACATATTTTTCACAGTTAGGGATCAAATGCTATCTAATAACTTTGCTCCTTGTAACTCAAAACAAGGTTCAACTCGTACTGGGTTGTGGGTTGCTTTAAAAAAAAATTCTTTTTACAGAACTGTGATGGAAATACCTATAGATGAGCACTGGTAAGCTCATGCTGGTCTATACACTTGGATTATTAAATACAGTGGTGCCTCGCTTAACGGGCGCTCCGTTTAGCGATGAAACCGCATAGCGATTAACTTTTTGCGATCGTAAAAGCAATATTTCCTATGGGGTTTTATCGCTTCACGTTGATCGGTTCCCTGTTTCGCTTACCGATCATCGCAAAGCGATGATTTTTCAACAGCTGATCGGCGGTTCCAAAATGGCCACCGGGTTAAAAAAATGGCCCCCTGTTGTGTTTTCACGCCGATTCCTTGCTTAAGAGGCAGCGAAAATGGCTGCCGTATGGAGGATCTTCGCTTTAAGGCCAGTTTTTTGCCCATAGGAACGCATTAAACAGGTTTTAATGTGTTTCTATATGCTTTTAAAAATCACCTAGCGACGAAATCGCTTAGCAGCGATTTTTGCTGCATGGATTAACGTCGCTATGCGAGGCACCACTGTAAAGTGATTTTAAATCAGTGACTTTCACTGACAGGAGGGGGACCATTCAGTCTTTGGAGGAAGAGTGCTTTTAGACAAGGCTTTTGTTCTGCAGTTATTTATTATTCATTTATATCCTGCCTTTCAAACAAAGAATGGCTTGATGACAGCCTCTGTCATTTGTAATGATTTTCCCACTGCTGCTTTGAACTTCTCTCCATACCAAAGGTGGCAAAAAAGAGTTTCCAAGCTTCGCTTTATTCTAATTCTGGTCTGCTGTTATAAGTGCACACTAACTTTTGAGTTTGACAGAAGGAGCTTTTTTGGAAGCATTAATAGGCGCATGTTTTTTGCAACCTTTGCATTTAGCTAAGGGATGGGAGAAAATTGGGAAGGTACCAGCTACAAAGAAATGCAAGTCTAAGCAGTGGGAAGCTACCTGCACAGGGCTAACAATTGTGATGAAAAAATAGGCAGCTACTTCAGTCACATTCTGCAGGAAGTTAAATTTGAAAACTTTCTAGGTTTATGTACTTTGTTCTGACCATAAGGGAATAAGATGCTACCTATAGAAGGGAGCACAATCCTCCAGATTAGTTTTTCCAACCTTGGGTCCCCAGATGATGTTGGACTACAACTCCCAGAAATCCTGGCCAGCACAGCTAGTGGTGAAGGCTTCTGGGGATTTTAGTCCAAGGGGGGACCCAAGGCTGGGAGCGATTGCTCTAGACTCTGTCCTGATGAAGTCTTAAGCAGCCACTTGGTTCATTCTGGATTCCAGATATTGCCAATAAGTAAATCTCTGCAATCAAAAATTGAAGTCATGCTTTTCCTTGCAGGAAGCTGAACGCTGCAGCCACTGCGGCATTCTACAAAATGTCAACATTCAATAAAGCCAACATCAAGTGCTTTTAATGTGTTGCCAAGCATATGGGGTTGAAAAGAGGAAAGTGTATGCTTCAGCAACTTGTTAGGATCAAATTTACTCACATCTATATGATTTCTATAAAAACGAACTGTAAAACAAACCTTACCCACTTGCAAATACATACTGATAGTATACATTAAAATAACTTGTGGAAACGTTTGAGAAATCTAGGTGTTCATTCACAGCAATATGGAATAGGATAGAGTAACAGTCTCATGTCTCATCAATGTTCTCTTTTTAGAGGAGCAGACAGTGGGATATGCTTTGGCTTCAGAATTTACTTGGAAAATTAAGAGAAGTTGTTTCTGTTTTTTAATTTATCTGAAGCAAAGCAAGGCAGCCTAAAGCAGTGCTTTAGTCAAATTGGGAGTCTCTGAAGCACTGTTAAAAAAAGGCAACAGCTTTTGTTTCAGATTATCTGGTGCTGACTAATGGTTGGGCAGTGTTGTACAGCAGTGGATTCATGGAAAAATTGGAGCTGAGCAAGGAGTAAATTGCACAGCTTCTAGTGGGGGTAAAGGAAACTGATGGAAGCTTTGTTTCCACAGTGGAGGTCAAACAGTACTTGGTGGCACTTTTGTTCACCATCCCACATCAGAGCACTTTTTTCCTGTTTCCATTTTTTTTCACTGTTCAAATACGCATATAATACAAACACTTTAAAATATGGAAATACACATGGAATTGGACAAGCTATAAATCAGCTTGAATCAGATGTAATTTGCGAGAGAAATCATTTGCACCAAATTGTAGTGGATGACATTTGCAAACCCCAAGGCTTGATTCAGTCGCAAGTCTTCACCAAATACTTAACACAATTTTAAAATTCTTAATCTGCAATAAATACTATGCTCAGAATAAATTATCCCATCACTTCACAAATGCATTATTTGGAATAATGATCTGCAAGTTTATTTGTTCGAATACATCAAATAAGATGCAAGCACTTTCATGACAAATATACAGAAAAAAAAGGATCAACACAGAACAGTAATCTATTTCCAATGGAGGGAAAGCTTATGACAACATACTCCCAAGAGAATTTTTTTTCTCCAGTTAAGTTACTTTATGTCAATAAAATAGAGGGCAAAAGGTTTAAGAGGGAGGTTAGTTTGTGCATTTTCTTTAAACTTCAAAACGTTAATACATGCCAGTTAAACACTAAACTAAAATTTACAGGTAAGCATGAAAGGGAGATGAGTTAGTTACCTTTCCTCTTTGAACAGTCCAGAAGAAAACAATTACTACAGTTAGAGCAGGCAAACTGGCTGATAAAAGGATTGATTAGTGTATTGAAGTCAGTCTTAAGTTGTGCTCAAAGCTGCTCATCCTCATTATGGCACAATTTGGTCCATGAAGAGGCTTTATGCTGAGACAGACCTCAATTTATCACATAAATTGTTGCTTTTCCAAAAAATGCCAGGTGTACTACTACTGCTGCTCAAGGCTGGGCCAAGGAGGAATTGTTTATAGGAAGTAGTCTGGGGTACGCCGAGTAACATGGGGTTCTCCACGACGAGGTGCTGGATCGAACTGAAGGCTGTGGAAGAGAAAAATTGGGCATGTGGCTTCAGCATCCATGGTACTCCAGCCTGAGCTAAAGAGTTCAATGCACTTATCACTGCTTCTTTCAGTAAACATATTTTACTACTTTTACGGGAAGGGCAACCAAGAAGCACTGCCATGAAAAGCTTTGACTGCCCACACTACATAAAGAAGAAAACTACAAACTGGAACAAACAGTATTTTAAAAGTTTTTTTTAATTAGCGTTACTCCTCTGTTTATAAATAACTATCCAAAAATTTAAAACTTATATTCCACTAAAATAGAAATAGATTAATTACATAAAATTTTCAGGGCTGTGGTTAGTGATTCAGATTTAGAATACTGAGCAACATCCATTGGCAAGCTGACTAAAGGCTGTTTTTGTATCTTCCCCCTCATCCCCATGCTAGAGACTTCCCCACCATTCAGAAAAGAAACCTAACATTCTATGAAACTTTGAGGGCTGCCAGGAGGACGAGTCGACAAAAGTCCCTTTCGCTGGCATACTGGATGTCACTATTTGCTTAGAATTCTGTCCCAACTTCTATTTATGACATATGAGCACTTAACACATCCCTTCAGTGATGTACGTATGCTTTACGTTTGCTTAATAAAAAATGGCCAACATCCAACTGCTTAAGTACAACAGCATTAACTGCAACAGTTATTCCTGCTGCTGTTTAAGGAATTCTCACTTGTATTCCTCCTTGCTCAACAGTTCTGCAACTTGGTGTCCCACAAGGAAGACAAGCAGCAACTCCTTAACTAGCCACAATCTGCTACTGTAATTTGCACCACTGCACTTATGTATGTAAAAGCAATAAAAATCTGGCTACTATATCTTAAAGAGCAGCATTTTCCAATGTGAAGAATTCAAAAATATTCATGTTCTTTCTCTTCGCCAAATGCTAAAAAGTACTGTATACTGACTGCTCTTGTACAGTGATACTTGTTAGAAGAATTGAAGATTCCCTCTTTAGAGACTACCCTAACTACTGCAAAAACTAATTGGGTGAAATCATATGGGTATTCACATATGGTTTGTGTGGCTTGCCAAATATAGCTACAACTTATCTGGTGGAAGAGCCAGGGCACACCTGTTGCATAACTGAGCACATTAGCAGGGATATGATCAAGATGTGCCTCAACACATTATCAAGTAACCGCAATATGAATAAAATTATGCAAACATTGAGTAAATACCCACAGGATTCTGATCAATATTACTTACAAGGAATATTTTAAAGTGTCATCTAGTTCCATGATAGCAGCCTGGTTCCCACAGCGGTAGCAGTAATTAGGTGCACTGAAAATGGTGACCACATTCCGATCATGACACCAATTGTAGCCCTGTGACAGAGGGAAACTGATTCAATGAAAAAGGTCAAGAAGGTCCACTAGCATAAAATCAGCAATTCCAAGATACACTATAAAGATGATCTAAGATATCTGAAAGAATATATTAAATCTTAATGTTAAAATGTGAACATGAACAGATGCCCTGATATCCAAAGTTTGCTCTTTTAAAGATTTGTCTTTCCCAGGCACTTTACCATAAAAGACTAACCACTGGCAATTTCCTTTAATTGAAAACAGAAAATTGCTCTGGTATCCTTCTTGAAAGTATCCCTACATCTAGATTTGTACATTAAAATAGTACTGTATAAACATGTCTCAATCAAACTGTGCATGTATTATAGAAGGACTAGACAGAATTTGTATTTGGCAGTTTTCCTTTGTGTTTTTACTAGAACCCTGAGATTCCCCAACCACAGCCTGGTGCATAAGATAGTATTGAAGAATTCTGAGCCCAGAATTAGCTATGAGTGCCAGAAATGGCTATAGTTCTTTCCACATCAAAATCCATACCTGGGTGGTTGCTGTTATGTGCCATCAAGTAAGAATGACTAATAGTGACCCTACTAGGGCTTTCAAGGAAAGAGATATTTAAGGAGTGGTTTTACAAGATACCCCAGTGAATTTCCATGCCAAGTGGGGATTCAAATCCAAGTCTCCTGAGTTCTAGTCCATTACTCTATCTACTACACCACATACTGGGTATCCCTGGGTTATTCCAACATTTATTTTGACCATAAAACATGAGACAAACAGTGGAGCTGAGAGGGTTGTTTCTTGCTATTATTGACAAAATGGGGAATCAAATCTTTGCCATGCTACTGCTGATAATGTAGAGATCTACTGGTAGAACCAGAACTACGAAACATAATTACTCCTGAAGATATTATATTCCTATTGAGACAGAATGAAAAGTAGCTGAGATTTATAAAGTCTTCTTTCTCACATTGAAAGACCACTTAAGTTTAATCATCAGGTGATAAATAAAATAATTATACCTCCATTACAAGTTGATGGGCACGAGATACCAGTGTAAGCCCATTGGCATGATTAAATGTTTCAGAAATATCTTGACCAAATGTGTACCCAGCACCACGTGGAGAAATTCCCCAACCACCACGATCATCTGGATCCGACCACAAAAGATCACACATTGGACCCTATTTTAAAAAAGGGGGGAAGTGTTATAAATATATAAAGGTTACTTACTACTATAAAAATTAAGCTAAACAGATTTCTTAGGTTTTTTGCATTTTTATGTCATTTAATAAATCAATCAACAAAAACTAATAGTAAATGGGTGAAACCAGTATGCTGTGTCATGTAACCTGAAACAAAGTGGGCACTGAATACTCTCATGTGAACTTCTTCTGGAGGTCTGGGAAGCAGTGGCAGATAGATGTCAGGTCTGTGGATAAAAACACCAAAGGCAATTCATGCCTAGAGGCTAAATCAAGGACTGGTTTGTAGCAATAGAAAGAAGAAATCTTCAGCGGTAAGAATGCAACAAAGATGTGAGATGAATCAAAATACAACCACATTCTTAGCAGATGAGAAAAATACATTAGTACCAATGATAGTTAAACAGCAATAAACTAGACTCGGGGGAAAATTAGAAGAGCTTCAGTGAGAGTATAAAAGAAAAGATAAGAGATCAGAAATAGTAACAAATGAATGTTATCAATATGAAGTTGATGATACTGAATACCAAGGAGAGTAAGCGCAGAACTTTATTTCTCTATTTAGAAGAATTAATCTGAAAAGAATACACTGCTGTTTAGAGGGAAAATGTATAAAGTAATACTAAAAATTTATGTTGAAATTAAGAGTATAAAAAGTAGACTAAAATGACTTTTTTTAAAAAGCCCAGCACTGGAGGCACACTACTGAGAAAAGCCAATTCATTTTTAAAAAAGGAACAGGAACTGAAGAGGTAAACAAAGTGAAGTAGAATTCAAGAGAACAGCTGAAGGATGCCAGAATCCTGCAACATGAGCCCCTGCATACAAAGCAACCAGGCATAATGTTAGATGCATGCATAAGAATGCAAAAATGTATTTTAAAATCACAAAAGGTACACATCCAGCAAGATGCAACAATACCAATATTGGTTCATAATGTACTTCTGTCCAATTACAGAGGGGCTGGAAATTAGTTCCATCAATTCATGGATGCATCAGTCAAATGATCCTAGCCCGTTTGGCAATTGCCAGCTTTCAGCTCCCTGTGCTTCCCACTTAATCCTGTGCACCTCAACC